CTTATTCTTTATGACATAATACTATACACCAAATAATAGTGGTAGTGTGGTAAAATAATAATGTCAAATATTACTCCCTTCATTACTGTTTATATGTCATTATTTTGGATTCACATCCTTTAAAAAATTAGTTAAATTTATTATTATTTTTTTATTTATAAGTGATCTCATAATATCAAATTTTTAATAAATTAATTATTTAATTTTTTTATGTCGATCAAATTCAAACTTTCAAGATCAATTACTCTAAAAGGTAGAATAGAATAATTAATATATTGTTTAATTATTAATTTTATAAAATGAAAAATATTATAAGATATTTATTTTTGTATAAATAAAATTTTAAAAATAAATTCTTAGTACTTATATCAAAATTTAAATGTGAATAAAAAAAACAGCTGAAAAAGTGGATATATTGAGGGAGCCGGGGAGTAAATACGAAAAGAGAGCATTGGTTGGTTTGGGCGGCAGTAGGTGTTCAATGAATCCATTGGCAGCTTAATTAAATGCATGCAGATGGAAAAACAAAAAGGACAGTTCCCAAGAAGGCTATGCATACAGAGGAAGTGTTGGGACAGTTGAGAGACTTAGCTTTTTTATTTATTGCTCCTCTGAATTTATCTTCATAGGAAATCGTTAGTGTAGGATACAGTTTTGTTTGGACATTGCCGTATGAAAATTTATATCTTATATTTTTTATAAATATAAAAATTTTATAAGTTATAAAATTATTAAAATAGTCTCAATTATTTATTTAACTTATTTAAATACAAATTATAAAATTATATAATAAATTATTATAAAGGTATTAATTTTTTACTTAATTAATTGTTTCATCTAGCTATAATTTAATAAAAAATTGAACATGTAGTGTACTAATTTTTAATTTAATCCTTTCACATAATACGAATAATTTTTTCAAGTTAAATTTGTATTTCTCGATCATGTGACTGAGAAGATGAACCAACATTGTTACTTTGAGTCATTTGTTGGTCAATATTATTTGGAACTATATTTTCATGTTTATAGACCATAAACATTTCATTATTTTAACAGTCGGTTGGTGTGAGTTAAAGTGACTATATGTTGGTGAGAATAACAAAATTTATGTTGCTGAGAATAATAATTTTTGAAAGATGTGATTATAAATTTTATTTAAATATAAAATAAATGATTAATGCAAATATGGGATTATTTTAACAAAATATAAATTTGTAAATCAATTTTTGTATTAAAATATTTCAAATCATGATATGAAAATCACCATATAATTTCATATCATGCTTTTTGGAGAATATGAAATCACATCTCATGATATGAAATTATGAGATGAAATCAGCATAAAATTGCATATCCAAACGCTAATTGCATCTCACAATACCATATCGTGGTCAAACGCCTACTTAGTTGATTATTTTTTTATTTTAAATTAATTAATTTTTTGGGAAACTTTAAAACAACTATGAATAGAGATAATTAAGAAAAATTTAATTAATATTTTTTTAATTTAGTAAAATATACGACTAATACAACACGATTATTTTTAATTAAATGATCAGTGAGAAAATAACAAACTTAAAAGTGAATATGAAAAATACGTCTACTTAAAGACGTCTACTTAAAGAGTATTGGTGATCTCCCATGCTTACATGCCCGCTTCTCTACAATTTAGTCCATCTCAAACATAATTAACACGGCCAAGGAAGTCCGTGCTACTCACTCTATTGTCTAACAATATTTATATATTAGTGACTTCGAGCCCCTTTATTACAAATTAAAGAATTCAGAATTAATTAAATTTCTCCATAAATTTCTATGTTCTTTTTATTACGATATTTTTAAATAAATCGATAGATAACGAAATATTTCTTAAAAATTGTAAGTAATAGGAGTAAGATAATATTATTATTCTATCCTTTGACTTTAAAATTTAATGTTTTAAAAAAATGTGTTAGATAAATAATATTTAATAACAAGAATAAAATAAACACAAAAGCTAAATCATCACTTAATTTTTAAAATTAAATAAGTATTAAACAATTACGTATGTTATAGTAAATAATTATTGATCTAAGGGAGTAAACTTTTGCTGGTGTGAAATTTATGACTCAAAACAAAGAAAAACTCTTTTACTTTTCTAATAAATGTAAAAAAACAACATGTAAACATGCATGTAAGTGATTGATCCGTCAACGGGAGAGGGGTAGATAGAAATTTTGTAAAACAGAAGTGAAATCCAAATTTTCTCTTATTATACAAGTGGCATTTAGATATCAAGTAGCCAGCACACCATCGACATGTGTTTCTTAGGAATACTAGATGGAATTAGTCCGTGCTTGTTGTATCGAATTTTGTTTCAGCAGATACAATACTTTTTCATAGAAATGGCAAAGTAATTACTTCATACTTCGTTGTTTTACCATGCTGCTTTTTGTTGCAGACCTATGACATTATCATAATTAGGCTATTATGCAATAGACCTTGGTTCAACTCAGAACTCTGTAGGCTATTTCCTTCCACTGCATAGGACTTAGTGTTGTTGCGACACATGATTTAAATGAAAGTGGAATAACATGATTAACTTGTTAAAGTAATTGCATCTCAAATGATCAATGAAGGTGGGAACAAGGCCATTTGAAAACCGCATAGATAATGCTAAACAGAAGCATCCATACCTACGTGGCTAAAAAGGGTTGAAAGTTAACAACCACCATATATTTAATCAGAAAATCAAAAATCTAAAAGATAAAATTTGATGGAATTCATACAAATTAGTAAAGAACTAATATAAGAAAATGCTCTTAAACCAACACATTTCTGATTATAAAGTACCATACAACGAACACAACATCTTTTCAGAACTCAAAAGAGTTTGTTAAGGTTCTATCTCCCGTTAACCTCATCCTTGGTGTAAACAATCATGGACCTGAATCCAGCAGCGCGATGATTTCATGCCTCTTGAACTGATCTATTTGAC